CTGTCACTTAACATTCATGGACTCACCCATCTTGGCTCAGGACGGGAAAGTCTGTTGTTGGTTTAGCGTCCAGGAAGCTAACGTTAGCATTAGGAACTCCACCACACAGGAGAACTCCTCCAGGCTTGTGTTATTTGTGGAGATGAAACATCAACGTTGCAGAGCAGACCGTCAGTGGTAGAGTCATGTTGCTTTGATCCAATTAGAGGCAAGATGTCCAAATATCAGGAAGTAAGACTTCACATCTTGTCGTCGGAAGCTGCTTTCTCCTCCAGCTGAGTTCCACGTCCTCCAATAGGAGCGTCTAAACCTTTTCCCCCGGAGAGTGACTCACAAAGCATTCATTCTATAGACCTTCAAATACGTTAAAAATACCTTTAAGGACTCGATGGCCCTAATGACTTTCAAGATCATCTTATCAGATCCTGCTGTGTGTGGTTTGCTAAGAGTGCTCTTGTCTGCTCTGAAGCGGACCTCTTAAACCATAAATCAAGGCTATGAAAGGTCGGTCTGGTTTTCGAGGACGCACAACTGTGTGGTCTGTTGAATGTGAGCCAATCACCAGTCGAGGTGATGAAAACGCGCCGTGAGCTCCTTCTCTGCCGTAATTCTTTACTCCAAAGTCATGTTTGATCTTGCAAGATTTCACTGTAGGACCAAAATGATTTCATCCGTGATTTTTATCGCCCGGTGTGGAGTCACATATTTTAAAAATCATTCTACAATTTAAAATTCCTGGTGTGTGTACCAGGCATTTAAAGTATTGAGACAACTGCCTTTAGATGCATGACTTTCGATTCTTGAGTTGTAGGGTTGTAGTAGCCCCCCCCCCCCTTAGGAATGTTGACCATTCTCCCTGAAGTGCATTTTTGAGCTCAGACACTAATATCATAAATGGTAAATGGCCTGTATTTGATATAGCGCCTTCTAGAGTCCTGGCACCCCCCAAGGCGCTTTACAACACAATCAGCCATTCACCCATTCACACACACATTCACACACTGGTGGGGATGAGCTACGATGTAGCCACAGCTGCCCTGGGGCGCACTGACGGAGGCGAGGCTCCCAAGCACAGGCGCCACCGGTCCCTCCGACCACCACCAGCAGGCAACGTGGGTTAAGTGTCTTGCCCAAGGACACAACGGCAGTGACAGACTGAGCGGGGCTCGAACCTGCAACCTTCCGATTACGGGGCGAGCGCTTAACTCCTGTGCCACCGTCGCCCACATAAGAAGTCCTGGCTCGGTCTCTGCCATAGTTCATCTCAAACCTCTTCTGTCAGCTGGAGGTCGGGACTCTGTGCAGGACTTTCATGTCGTTCATGACCAAACTCGCTCATCCATGTTTTTATCAAAACACCTGCAGATTTGGAGGATGTGCCTGTAGGTGTCACAAATTCTTTCAAGATGAAATCCTTAATTCCCCCCCCCCCCGATTCCAAACATGGAAAATACATTTTAGGTTTACTTTAAATTCAATACTTTCTACATCTTATATAAACAACTGGTGCTGTTGACTTCCTCCGCCTCATTTTAAATCTCACCATCATGTATCCTAGCAACAGAGTGACCATCACTGTCAGTGGTCGCTGTACTGTACAAGTCATGACTAATGAGCGATAGCGTCTTTATGCTACGGTGAATCACGGTTTGAGGGGGAGTCGAGGATTTCCATTTGATTGCAGTTCAAAGAAGAGTAACGTGCGATACTTGTTCTTTCTGAAATCTGAACCATCATGCTGAGTTTGACACGCAGGCAGAACGTGAAAATTGCCTTCAACCCCTAAAGCTTGCATTAGCCGCCGAAAGGAAACCGACAGGAAAACTATCAGGACAGGAAACGAGACACCGCTTTACATCATCACCTCGGCTTGTGCTTGCAGACGACTGCATCCAGGAGAGGCGAGAGCGTGTCTCGGCCAGTGGAAGCTAACCGTTAGCAATAGCCACCCCACAACACGGAGGTTCACGTTAATATTATACCCAAGAAAAAAGAGCAAAGAAGGCAGCGGACGAGTTGTGCAGCCATGAGCCAATCAGAGGCGAGATGTTTGCATATCATGAGTAAGATTCTAAATCCTGCAGTTTTCTTCTCACTGCTCGTCCAACTCACTTGTACTTCCTGAAACGGGAGCGCCAGAGCTTATTTCCACAGAAAACAACTCACAAGGCATTCATTCATATTACAATCAACATCAAATTTATTTAAAAATGGGTGAATACCCTCTTAATTATTATTTTTCTTTTATCATCTTTTTCTATCTATTATGCATGATTGCATTCTTCTTAGGAGAGCAAAAAAGGTGCAACATCAAAGTGTCGAGAAGGTCAGTAGAAAGTCAAAATGTTAAAAAACGGTAAAAATAGTTTTTCAAAAGTAGTTATTTTGAGTCTAAAAGTGAATCGAAAACAGAAACTGAGACACTTTTTGTGAAGTATTAAAGCTCGTTTCTGGAGTATTTCTCTTATCTGATGGCACCAACTAGTGGCTGACAAGCATATCACACAAAAAGGCTTTAGCTCTGTTGTTTTTATTCAAGTTTTCAATTCAATTCAAGTTCATGTATATAGCACCGAATCACGACAAGTCGTCTCAGGGCACTTCACATAATAAACATTCCAATTCAGGTCAGTTCATTAAGCCAATCAGAAATAATGTTTCCTATATAAGGAACCCAGCAAATTGCATCAAGTCACTGACTCGTGTCAGTGACTTTACAGCAATCCTCATACTAATCAAGCATATAGCGACAGTGGAGAGGAAAACTCCCTTTTAACAGGAAGAAACCTCCAGAGGATCCTGGCTCAGTATAAGCAGCCATCCACCACGACACACACACACACACACACACACACACACACACACACGCACGCACGCACGCACCAAGTCATGTTTCTATGGTTACATTGTAATTTCTTAGTAAATATTCTCTTTGGCGAGAGATAAACTTTATTGTATTTATCCTAGTGAATCTATAACTAAACGGGTAAACTAGTAGTAGCACATCCAATTTCAAAGAGAGTAAAGTGTTATTAACAGGAGATAACATTTAAGATGGCGACTTCACGTTTCTGTTCATAAATGTGCTTCTGTAGCCGACAAACAGCTAAAACACGTTTTATGAGTATTATTCTCATGTCATGTTGTGTTCTCATATATTTACATGTTAGAGGCTTTCTTGTCCGTGAAAAGTTCATCAATCGCATCAGCCGAGGTATTCCTTAAATTTGAAGCAAGTAAGCGGTGGTCTTAGTTCCGATCGGCGCTTAGTTTCCTATTGGACGGAGCTCTGCGGGGCAGGGGGCGTGCTTACGTTATATCACGGTAAGATAATCACTTTAACAGGTTTCTGAAAAGTCACGCATCATTTCTGAAAGGAGAAAACTCCAGAAAGCAGCTTTAAATGTAAAGGCGGCTGCAGTCTAGAAACCACTGCAGGTTTATCAAAATAACAAGTGTTTGCCTCATTTAAAGCTTCTCCCCAGGTGCAGCCACAGGTGCCACCTCCAAGGTACAGTCGAGTGCAGCATCCCGCCGCTCCTCTACGGAGACATTTCAGAGGCCTGACGGCGGGAAAAGTGTAAACAAGCGGGGTGGTTCAGCTCCGTATGGTCAGAATCCACGATAGTGCACCGCCGGGAACATTTCTAGAAAACGAACACGCTACATCTTTACAAACCCTTTCGAGGAAACACACATGAGGACACACAGATGAGGAGGGAAGACAGGCTGGAGGAATATTTCAAGAACGAGCGCGCAGGAGTAAAAGAGGAGGAATGGGAGGCGGGAGAGCGATGAAGGTGGCGATAATGAGAGAGAAAATTTAATGGGAGAGACAAAGTAGTAAAGATGGAAGGAGGTATTGTTAATGCGGTGCAGCCTGCAGGTTGTGCTCCCTCTGCACCACTTGTGAACACTCCTGGCTGTGGTGAGCACTCACTTTTATATCAGCCTCCCGCTGCTGCTGTAAAAGGAGACTCTGCAGACTTTTGTGTGGATGTATTTATGTTTTTGTGCATGCGTCTGTGTTTATTCATGTCTGCAGCCCTTTGTTAGGAAGCCTGGAACAAACAGTCATGCTGCTTCTTGATTTGTATGGATAAAAGGGGACATAATGAGCCCCATAATGAGCTGCTTAGCGTGTCATTCAAAGCCCGCCGCCATGTCAGTCAGTCACAGGAGCTTCCTAGTCCCTCTGTGACGAGTCTGAGCGTTTGTCCCAAAGTTTTGAACATCGAACGCGTGCGCCCAGCTCCCAACGCCGCATCTGTTCAGCATCTCCGATCTGCCGTTTTCAGAGCCGTGTCCAGGACTTTTAAAATGGGGTGGCCCACGTGGGGCGCTTGTTTATGCATGGGTGGCACCAATGGTTATGCTTATTTATTTATTTATTTACACAAATCGTTTATTTATTTTTTACTTTCTAGTGAGTTTTTGCGTTTCACATTGCACGATCACCTTTTTTTCCTCTTCATCTTCTAGTTTTGTGGTGGTTAGCAAGTCACTTCTTGTTGCATTACTGCCACCAACTGGAGCTGAGTGGGACTCTAAATACTATTTACGTAAATATGAAAAAATAATAAATAATATTAATACTACAGAAATGTTCTGTAGACCTGGGCTAGTGTTAAAGGTGCATGCTACCACACTATTTTTGGAGTTTAGAACCCAAGCCTTTTGTCGACAATGTAAAGTCAATTTAAACTGGAACTTGGTAGGGTGGCCAATCAGATTCCAAAGGTGGCATGTGCCACCCCAGGCCACTCCCTGGACACGCCCCTGGCCGTTTTGCAGACTGTAACAAACAATCATGTCCTCCGCTGCCGCGGCAGGTTCCACGTGGCACACGAGTGTGAAATTGCTGAGTAGATTATGCGAGTGCCTTTGATGCCAGCTGCTGCTTCCTCTTTACAGGTCAATACAGATCAAACGCCGCTGATAACGCGTACAGCGATGCCAGTTTCTGCTTATCTGTGCAAATATCACACCACGAGCCAATCTCAGTAGAAATAAAACGTATTTATTGATACAAATCTTCTATGCAAGATCATACAGGACGATTCATTTGTACATTTGCACCTGATTCACTCAATAAGTACATCATTGCTGTAAATAATAACACTCGAAGCTCTGCTTGTTAAGATTGTGCCAGTTATTATTGCTGCCGCTCCCACATATCAAGAACCCTTTCTGTAAAATACAAAGCTAATAATTATAAATAGTTGCATCATTGACACATAATTGAGGTTTAGCCTGGGGCTGACCCATTCATAGCTCTCGGCTTAGCCACCGAGGAGCCAATAGCACGCCTCGCCACCCTCTGTCAATACACCTGGTCCGACCTATCGGCTGAGACGCAGAGAGGAGCCGATCCATCGCATCGACAGCTTCTTCCTCTCTCCCCTGTGTTCTCATTAGATCAACTCTATTAATCTCCTCATGCATCTGTCTGTTTGCTGCAGGTTGGGGTGATGGTGAAGCCTGCGGGGGTTTTCCTTCTTTTCTGTCACATCTGAGGAAAAAGATTTCTGTTGTTTTAAATTTGTGCCGTTTTCATCGCACACAGCGAAGGAAACTGCACGTGTTTGACTGCATTAAAGGGTTTGTTCAACACTTTCAGCTCTCAGGCAGAGAATTAGATAAACGGATCAATAACGCACTTTTCTTTCTTTTCTTTTTTCTTTTTTTTAAGAAAATCTGTACAGTAAACAGAAGCCGTGTTAGCTTAGCTCCTCACAAAGACAGACACACTGCGGAAAGGGTGTGATTCTGTCCAAGTGTGACAAAATGTTCCCAGTGAGATCTCCAAAGCTTCAAAATGTACGTTTAATTCATGCAAAAGTAGCAGCTTTGTGATTTACCGTAGATGTTACCGTCTTATGGCTGGATTCTGTCCCCACTGAGAAGTTTGTTGACATAAAATTGGCCCAGATTGTCTTATTTTAAAGGTGTGGAACGCTCGTGTAATCAATACGTTTGCAGTAGTGTCTAGTAGGAACACATGCCTTTTCAGGTCATACTCCGGGGGGAAAAAAAACACTGATGCACCGTTTCCAGGATTTGCAAGTGAGTCAAGTCTCAGCTGAGCTTCAGACGGCAGGATTCGGACTCCCATTTCCTGATATTTGGACATCTCGCCTCTGATTTGATGACAGAAACACGACTCTACCACTAACTTGCAACGTTGATGTTTTATCTCCACAAATAACACAAGCCTGGAGGAGTTCTGCTGTGTGGTGGAGTTGCTAATGCTAACGGTTAGCTTCTACTAGCAGAGACGTTCGCTGCTGTTTTCTGGACGCTAAACCAACAACAGCCTTCCCCGTCGTGAGTCAAGATGTCCATGAATGTTAAGTGACAGTGTGACGTAGATCTGTCAGGCTTTTCTGTACGGAGCGTTTTTCCGTCTAGTTTCTATCAGAAGCTAATGTGGGAAATAGAGGAAAATAGGAATAGGGGTCTCTGATTGGTTAACAGCAACACGTCTCTACCATCGACTCTGTCTGCTCTGCAACGTTGATGTTTTATCTCCACAAATAACACAGTCCTGGAGGAGTTCTGCTGTGTGGTGGAGTTGCTAACGCTAACGGTTAGCTTCTACTAGCTAGACGTTCTCTGCTGTTTCCTGGACGCTAAACCAACAACAGCCTTCCCCGTCGTGAGTCAAGATGGGTGAGTCCATGAATGTTAGTGACAGGGTGACGCAGATCTGTCAGGATTTTCTCATCCTAGAGTTTCACCGTCTGTTTTCTATCAGAAGCTAATGAAGGAGATAGGTGTAGGAGACTATTTTCAAGTCCAGCCTGCATGAAACACCCAGAGTGACCCGTTAGAATCGGAAATCAGATGAAAAAATTACTTTTCAGTGTTCCACGCCTTTAAAGAAAAAAACAAACCCAGAGAATGTTGAACAATCCCCTTTTAGACACATGCTGCTCTGCGCGCGTGCGTCAGGGAACCCCGGCTGGTGCTGACACCATCCGGGTTTTTGTTGTACACGAAGCATCACTCAGGAACTGAGTTGAGGCGAACGGGGGGGTGTGGCGCAGCCAGGGTTGACGTGTCAGTCACGTCCACCGTCGTCACTCCCATCTTCTTCAGGGAACGCTCGTCTGTCACAGAGATGGAGCGAAAGAAGGCAGGACGGGGGGCTCCCTGAGAGTCTGAGGTGGAGAGACAGATACCGTCTTCATGTTTTGACAAAACAAGTGTATTTCAGTCTCTGTGTATAAATCAAACTAAGAATGTGCAAATAAAACACGGGGAGAGACTAAATGAGACAGACGGTGGATGTGGAGGAACATCTAAAAGGAAAAAGGTGAATGCTTTCTTTGAATTCCTAATGCATTAAGAATACTTAAGACCTGTGTCATACACTCCAGCTCCCATTAGTCTAATCCCTCATCGGTATGCAGCTCACGCGGCCAAGTTCTTATTAGATTCTCTGGAGTAAATGGCATCCATTTACTTTTATTACAGCAGATGAATGAAACGAAAACTACAGTGTTGGTGAGTCTGTGCAGGGCTGGGCGCTGTAGCAGCTTCTGGCCTGCAGGGGGTCGCGGCAGTGCAGCGAGCTGCAGCAGGTTGAGCAATGACTGCAGATTGGTTGCAGCTTGATGTCTCTCATCATCAAGAGAGAGAGAGAGAGAGAGAGAGAGAGAGAGAGAGAGAGAGAGAGAGAGAGAGAGAGAGAGAGAGAGAGAGAGAGAGAGAGAGAGAGAGAGAGAGAGAGGGGGGGGGGAGGGAGAGGGAAGGAGAGGGAGGGAGAGGGAGGGAGAGGGAGAGGGAGGGAGAGGGAAGGAGAGAGAGAGAGAGGGAGGGAGAGGGAGAGAGAGGGAAGGAGAGAGAGAGAGGGAAGGAGAGAGAGAGAGGGAAGGAGAGAGAGGGAGAGGGAAGGAGAGGGAGGGAGAGGGAAGGAGAGAGAGAGAGAGGGAAGGAGAGAGAGGGAGAGGGAAGGAGAGAGAGAGAGAGGGAAGGAGAGAGAGGGAGAGGGAAGGAGAGAGAGAGGGGGAGGGAGAGGGAAGGAGAGGGAGAGAGAGGGAAGGAGAGGGAGGGAGAGGGAAGGAGAGAGAGAGAGAGAGAGAGAGGGAAGGAGAGAGAGGGAGAGGGAAGGAGAGAGAGAGGGGGAGGGAGAGGGAAGGAGAGGGAGAGAGAGGGAAGGAGAGGGAGGGAGAGGGAAGGAGAGAGAGAGAGAGGGAGGGAGAGGGAGGGAGAGGGAGAGCACAAGATGGTACAGACCATATGGGGAATTCTGCCTTTGATTTCTCTCATACGCTGCTGAGCTTCAACAGATGAACCAGCAGGGGGCAGGGCGGCCACACACACACACACACACACACACACACACACACACACACACACACACACACACACACACACACACACACACACACACACACACACACACACACACACACACACACACACACACACACACACTTGCATGTGCCCCAACCAGGTCTGACATTTCCAGCTAAGAGCTGTGACGGCTGCTTATTTACGTTGGGGTGTCTGCTGATGAGGAGGATGCAGCAGGTGGCTGCATTATCACTTCTTAAACCAGTCCATCTTTAACTTACACACACACACACACACACACACACACACACACACACACACACACACACACCCTCTGTTTGTTCCTCTGTGTTTTGCTCTTCTTCTCTTTGCGTTTTCCTTCCACAGATGTTCTCCAGCCATCTGGGTTCTTGTTGGGCACAGCGACTCCACTAATCGTCCAACCTGCTCTCTTCATGCACGTCAGCATCCGGCTGCTGTTGCTCACACTAGTTTGTAGCTGCTCTTTTTATTTGGTATCGTTTTGTGAAAAAAGAAAAATCAACAGGAAATAAATGAAAAATAAAACCTGATCAGATTCATGAAATGATCTAAAAATGGGTTCTACTTCTTTCCCCTCCTGCTTTTTTACAGAGCAGTGAAATATAAGGACAATTAGCCGAGCACAAATATACATTTCAGATCCGCTGCTCTTTTTCTATCCACGCCTCATTGCCTTTGCCGTCTTCACCTCCACCTCCACCTCTCTTTGCCTCCACTGCTCTCCCATGCAGCCCCCCCCCCCCCCCCCTCTCAGGTATTTGCAGCACGGTGCAGGTCAGCAGCGGAAACCTCACCTGAGTTGTTCTGGCTGCACTTGACTTTGCTGTTGGTCGTCTCTTGCATTGCTTTCTCATATTTTCTCACCTCTTCCAAGCTCAGCCCTGTGGGGAGAGCAAAGTACAAGCATGCACGTGCACGCACACACACACACACACACACACACACACACATGCAGGAAGCATGAAACAAAGTGGAACGTGTGCGCTCAGATTTTCACAGAGTGCACACGTTCCATCATTTGCTTTTGCGGATTGCGACACGTTGACCCACCGTGCCACTCGTCGAGCCACGCCACCGCCTGCCTGTGGGCGACTAGAAGAACGTCTCTGATGTTCTGAAATTATGAATGCAACAAGACCACGTCAGGACCTTAAACACACCCGCTGTGTGCAGCCACGTGCAGACGGCTTCATTTAGATTTAATCCGAGTCAGGAATTGTAAAGTTTGGGAAAGAAATCCAGTCTCACTTGAACACGCATGAAGAAAAACATGAAGATTTAGTTCTGCTTCACGGCATGAATCATGTCAAAAGCTAGCCGATGTCCTCTCTTTGCTACGCCAGACGCGGCGCAGAGGTCGTGTGAGACTCGCCTCCCTCGTGGTGTTAGTAATTAAGCTAATGTCCGGAAATTAATGCAGTGGTGATTTATTTGTGCAAACACGTCACAAAAGGCAAACTAGTGCAATAAAAAACAATCTGCGGCGAATGAGAATTGCCGCTTTGTCCTCAAACAAACAGCTTCTCCAAATCAACAGCGAAGGGCGAGAAGGTCAACGCTCACTTTGTGCACGAAGCCCTCCGTCCTGCTCTGGAAGCCGAAGACCTCGAAGCTGCACCACACTCTTTTGTAGGAGCACATGATGGGCTCGTGGCCGTCTCTCCATCCCCGCTCCAAAGGCCCTCGGCTGGTTTTATCTGACCGCCAGAGACTCAGATCCTGAACACAACAAGCAGTGAAGGGTTAGAGCTGAGTCTGCAGGAACTCATGAAGTCTTCCCAGGCGTGGACTACGGATGTCCGTACACGTGCTGCCAGCTTGTTTATACACGAGGGTGCGTGTTTGTGTTCTTTGCTTGTTTGAGCATGCATGTGCGCTTGTCTGCAGCGGTGCTAAGTGCTTGTGTGCATGCTTCTTTTTTTTTTTTTGCACGCAAACCTGTGAATCCACCTTTGTTGCTAAGGGCTTGCAGGCACTAAAGAAGTGTGAAATCTTGGATGAGAAGGAACGGAAAAAGGAAGAGAGGCTGAGTCGTGTTTTCTTTTCAGGGGAGAAAACCCAAAGCCAGTAAGGATTTGGTGTAGTGGATTATAATTTGTGTCCACATATTTATAGATTATAAATCCTTAAGGAAGAGTTTAACGACTGTGTGCTGGGTGTCCAGTTTCATTGCTTCTATAATCAATTTCCAGCCGAAAGTCCCCGTAAAAAACAGGAACTGATGTGTTTACACTTATGTTTATGTGAGAATGAAAAAAGGATATATATATAATGGATTGGGCTGGTGCGCATTATAAGAGCTAAAATAAATAATTTAGAGAAACTACTAAACATTTAGTGGTGCACACAAAACAAAAGCAAAAAACTTTGGCTAAGTACAGACAGATTTGTACTTAAAGAGCAAGTCACCCCCCAAATCGACCTTTTTTTGCTGATAAACTATGTGAATGAGTGACTAATCATGCCGTAAACACGTGGAGACAATAATTTTGCACTTATGCGCATCTTAGTTAAAATTTTAAATTTGTGCCTAAAACTGTAAGCCTTGTGCTGTTGTCAGGCAAAAACTGTGCACTGCATTTGAATTTAATCTGCCATCGCAATTGGCCAAGAGGTACACTATGATGTTAGCTGGTACATTATGATGTTGTGAGCCTGTGTGTGTGTATTTGTTAGCGGTTTTGCCCTCGGTCTGCTAGGCAACAGCATTTGTTGCATTTTTCCAACAGGAAGTGTGAGTGGAGCAAGACTCTGGTAGGGGGTGACTTGCTCTTTAAAGACCAAGTTCACTGGTTTTAAACTCATCTACAGTGCTCTCTAGCAGAAATGAGTGCTGCGTGAGTCGTGTGGAAGTAAAGCTCTGGCGCTTCTGCTTCAGCAACTAGAAGTGAGCAGGAGGATAGGGGAGCAGAAGACAGCCGGATTTGGAGTCTTACTTCCTGGTATTTGGACATCTCTCCTCTGATTGGCCACATGACTCTACCATTGACTCTGTTTGCTCTGCAATGTTCATCTCTGTAAATAGCACAAGCCTGGAGGAGTTTTGCTGTGTGGTAGAGTTGCTAATGCTAACATAGCTTCTACTAGCTGTGCAAAGGTGGATGAGTTCAAGAATGTCTATTTTCTATTGGTGGCTGCTGCAGGAAGAAAAAGAATAGAATAGAAACTATTTTCATGTTTATCCTGTATGTTAAACTCAGCGTGACAATCATATTTGAAATATGACAAATAAAAACGGCTTCTCAGTAAACTTGGTCTTTAGGCTTTTCCATTTAAATTTATCTGAATTTTATTCATTTATTCTTGAAACACATCAAGAGCCACACTTTGAACATCTTTATTAAAGGTGTGGAACACAAAAAAAACATTTTAATGATTATTTCTGATTCTAACGGGTCACTCCGAGTTAAACATGCAGGCTGAACATGAAAATAGTCTCCTACGCCTATCTCCCGCAGTAGCTTCTGATAGAAAACAGACGGTGAAACTCTAGGATTAGAAAAGCCTGACGGATCTACGTCACCCTGTCACTAACATTCATGGACTCACCCGTCTGGACTCACGACGGAGAAGGCTGTTGTTGGTTTAGCGTCCAGGAAACAGCAGAGAACGTCTCTGCTAGTGGAAGCTAACTGTTAGCATTAGCAACCCCACCACACAGCAGAACTCCTCCACACTTGTGTTATTTGTAGAGATAAAACATCAGAGTCAGTGGAAGTCGTGTTGCTGTTGGCCAATCAGAGACTAGGAAATAAGACTCAACATCTTGTTGTCTGTAGCTCGACTGTGATGTGGCTCACTTCTAGCTCCTGAAACAGGCGCACCGGAGCTTTATTTTTTATTTTTTTTTCCCCACTGAATACGACTTACAAGGCATTCGTTCCTACTAGAGACCACTGCAGGTGTACTGGTTAAATAAATGAACCCCATTTTTAAATGTGTCTTCTTTAAAATCTCAACTTCTCTGCTGTCTGTCTGAACAGCGTCATTATGAAGAAATTGTTTGTATCTAACCACTTGATCGACGAGCTAACGGCTAGTCCAAGTAGCCCCAAGACCAAAGTAAACGATTGCAGCTCTGAAACAAAATGATCACAGCTACTGTGGATGTTTCTTTAAAGGGTTTACTCTGCAGCCAGTTCCACATCAGTTGGTTATTTCCAAACGTCTCTGTGAATATTTGCTAGCATAATTAGCAGCAGCGGCTACGTGTTTTATTTATTTATTTATTTATTTTGGTGCAGGACGCACCTCTGAGTTTTTGTAGTGCTTTTCCGGGATCGGGTCACTGAGGATATCCAGGAAACTCACGCTGTCAGCCGGTGTTGGCGCGTCCCCAAATACCTGCATCCAAGACAGATTAAGTGGTGGTGGAGGGGTTCATCCAGAGCAATGATAGTGCACACACACACACACACACACACACACACACACACACACACACACACACACACACACACACACACACGCACGCACGCACGCACGCACGCACGCACGCACGCACGCACGCACGCACACACACACACACACACACACACACTCTCCTTACTCAGCGGAGAGCAGGATAAGAGTAGATAAGTAACTGTGTAGAGAACGGAGGTCACACACCACAACACCCCTCACTACTGTACGTCCCACCCGGAGGCCTTTGGAGGAAATCACACTGGAGCAAACAGATGAGAGAACAGATAAAGAGAGAAAAAGCAGTGGAGGGAACGGGGGGGAAACAACAAGGACACCAGAGGGATATTAAAAAGCAGGGAAAAGAGGTGCTATGAAAGCAGAAAACATATTTTTTCCTGAAAGAGTTGGAATAAAGTCAGAAAAGCTGCACTTTTGCCTGACCTTGTTTAAATGAGTTCTAACGCCACACCGACGTTGTTTATTTCACAGCACGAAACAAACAAATAAGATAAACGTGGGGTAAGATAGCAGCTTCTGTTCCTCTGCTGTGTCCCGCCAAGTTCCCGCTCCGGCATGTGCCGAATGAGTTGGCGGTTTCGGACTGTTTTAATGTGTGCTCTGGACGGAAAACACACACACACACACACACACACACACACACACACACACACACACACACACACGCACGCACGCACGCACACACACACACACGCCAACTTTCTCTTGGTGTCTTTGGTGGCCTGGAGGTCTTTGTAAGGCTCTTGTGTTGAAAATGTCCCTAAAACATCCTGATAAAATCCACAAAATGCAAATGTGATCATAAACACAAGGATTGCTTTGACTTGTCAGATTTGTGTGTGACTATAGAAAGTTGTTCCCTTCCTCGGTCCAGAAGGATGAGGCTTTGCAGCTATGAGTGTCATACACAGTGATGTTAACCAAGCGGGACTTTTCTAGCGTGCAGCAGAGCTCTTCTCTTTTGTCAGCTGTGCTCATGCGGCCCCTTTGGTCTGCAGTCTGTTGCGACACAAAACACGCAGGTTGCAAGTGTTGCTATCAGATGCAAAAGTTATAAATCCACAGCAAAGTGCTTTGTTGGAACTTTGCTCTTTTATTTGATGAACTAAACAGAAATTTTGACTGATGGTGAAACACTGACTCCACACACAAGTGTGACAAACACTTCTAATCAGGAAAAGCTCCGTTTTTATTTCATTTTTTTTTTAGGTCTGTGCGACGTCAAAGTCGAGCTGCTTGTGAGTGAAATGTACTTTTTATCAACTGGCGTCAACGTAGGAAACGAGAGAGCAGCAGAGAAAGCAGAGCCCTCAACCAATTGGAAAAGTTAGCGCCGAGCACCGTTTGAAAGTTTCTGCACTTTTAGGAAGTTAACGACAACATTCTGGGGCAAAACCAACAGAAACTAAGGTTCCCTGTAGAGTTCATCTGAATGTCCTTTGTTCTTAAAGAGCAAGTCACCCCCTACCAGAGTATTACACCGCTCCCACTTCCTGTTTGAAAAATGCAGCAAATGCTGTTGCCTAGCAGACCGAGAGGGCAGAGCCGCTAACAAATACACACACACACACACACACACACACACACACACACACACACACACACACACACACACACACACACACACACACAGGCTCACATTGTGACATCACATGGTACCAGCCAACGTTCTAGGGTACCTCTTAGCCAATAGCGATGGCAGATTTAAATTCAAATGCAGTGCAGAGTTTTTACCTGACAACAGCACAACACTGACAGTTTTAGGCAGAAAATTAAAATTTTAACTAAAATGCACTAAAGTGCAAAACTATTTTCTGCAGCACAATTAGACACACATTTATATGGTTTATCAGGAAAAAAGAGTTGATTTGGGGCTGACTTGCTCTTTAAGTAGTTAATTCAGTGAAGATTTAAGTACATGCAACACAAACGCTTCACTTAAAGCTGTGATGACCCCACGTGCCCCCGCCCCCAGTTACCCCTCTCCTTGGGTATCTTCCCAGCGACGCTTTTGTCGGAACCAGCAGAAGTGCGGCAGATGGTCCAACAGCTGCTCTCGGTCCAAGAGGTGTTATTGGTGGAGGTTTTCAGACAAGAGACCCACTTTAATACATTTATTTGTTTTTAAGGGTTTTTTAACTGCTTAGGGATATTTAGCTGATTTGCCTACTTTTAGCACCCTCTAGCGTCCGTTTGTAGAAAAGCAATGATCTCCTCGCTGTACGCTCGTCTTTGTAACACCTGAAGCAGAAATGTCTCCCAGCGTTCCTAAGTGTCTACGGGAGTGATTCATCACTAGTTAAACAAATCAGCTGTGTTCATGATCTAAAGCATCCAAGAAACGCGCCGAAGCCAGACGGCTCAGGTTGGTCAGACCAATGTTTTCTTAAGCCTGATTTATGCTTCTCCATCTGCGTCGGTGCGGAGACACGCAACGCCATTATCCGTCCTCGCGTAGGGCTCCGGCAGGCACGCAAGTACGTACGGAGTCGAGCCCACTTTTTTAAACATCCGTCGAACGAGACGGATTACGCAAGCTTGAGATTGGTCAGGACGCCGCTGTTGTTTACAGCGCCGCCATTGCAAAGAGAGCCGAGGATAACTAGTGGCAGACACGGAGAAGCTTGAAGAATACCTCGCGAAAAAACTCTAAAAATATGAACGTTTCATCCTCCCGTGACTGGAGGAGTGAAAAGATGCGCAGCAAGCGTTTTATTTGTGGACGGAAATGACAGGAAACGTGGGTTTAGAGGTGGGGAGCGCATGAAGCGGTGGGAGAATGAGAGACAAATATGTCCGTGTTAAAAGTCTCTTATATACAAAAAACACAATATAAACACACGATCTTGGACCGATACATGACAGGATACCACAGAGCAGCGCTACGCCCTCTGTTGTCCTGCCGGGGAATTGCTTTGCAACACTCTCCAGGAGACGGAGAAGTATAAGAGCAAAACGCTACGGTCAATCCGTGCGTGTCTGTCCCTTGCGGAGCTGACGGAGAAGCATAAACCAGGATTAAGTCCCAACAGACCGGACTGGCTACTGTGATGTTGCAAGTGCGATATTCTGGCCACAGGGGGCGACTGGCCTTTAATTAAAGCTTCCTTTATGCATCTTTTGTATTTCTGTTGTTCGGTGTTTATGATCCTTGTGGATAAGATGGATAAAGGAAGCTATAGATATAAGGAGATGTGGATGAGGGACCATGAACAGAGACGATGGAGTTTACACATTGGATCGTGCATGGGATTGCATCATCGGAGAGGGGAGGGCGGGCCAGGCAGCAGAGGGCGACAACGTCCTCTGCTGCCCGCGGATAAACAGAGTAGGAAGTGACGCCACCATCAGCGTCAGCCTGATGATGTTTGCAGCCGCAAACGAACCTGTCAGCAAGGTAAACCTTATCTGTGTTTTAACCCTCTGGGGTCCAGGGAGCCATTTTTGACTAATTTAGAGTTTTCCTTTGTATTTTCAAAATAAAAACCATAACCACTGCCTTATGTGTTATCAATCTTTTCAGTACAACCTGGACTTTATGAATTTATACTTATTTTTTACATTTGGACATAAAGGGGTTGCATATTAGACCTTAAATCACTCAAAAACATAAAATCCGAATGGGAAAAAAGTTGTTTATTTTACTGTGAAACCAACAAACATTTATGACGAATGTTTTTTATACTTTAGAATGGTAATCTAGACTGTACATTAATAAAAAATATGAATAAATATAGCAAATAACACAATTTTAAAAATAATATTAGCCCTCTGGGGTCCAGGGTGTAAATCACTGTTTTTGACTCATTTTGGTTTTTCTTTTGTATTTTCTAATAAAAACAATAAATATTGCCTTATGGGGTATCATTTTTTTCAGGACAACCGGGACTATCTGAATTTTTACTTATTTATTAATTTGGCAATAATCTACATGCATTTTGGAGTGGGGAGTGGCTCTGTCAGCTGCGCGGCGCCGCCAACTCCTCTCGTTGGATCTCTGAGGAGCTGGATCTCTGCCTTCATCCTCTAACTCATCATGACCCAACTCTTCTATGAGGAAGGATGGATCCGCCACATCGTCATCAACATCCTCACTATTTGCCTCAAACTCCGGCTGTGAGTCTCCGTCCACTTCCTCTGCTTCCGGATCGCTCCAAAATACGAAGTTTACCGTCGTTACTCCGTTCGTGCCACCAGGGGCGGATTTAGGACTGAAGAAGATCCGGGGCTTAACACACGTGCGCGCGCACACACACACGTGACACGCACTAGTCAACATCATATATATTAGAAATCACAAATATTTTCAAACAAGACTCACAAACCTGAGTCAACACCAGTCTCATCAAAGCTGGGGTTCTGTTGCGGTACTTAAAACGTCCTTATGTCCATCTTCACTCATACTTTTCAGGCAGAGAGTGTAGAAGAAGCCGGCTGCTGAAGGGCTTCTTCTTCAGTGGTGGAGGTTCAGGCAGGCTGTATACCAACTACTGCCAGCTGCTCCCTCTCTGTTGGACTTTGGTACTGCATGTTACTTCCACGTTTTAGATCCGGAGCTTTTCATAAAACATTCGGGGCTTGAGCCTAACGCCGCCCCTGCGTGCCACTCCTTTCCCCGCCAAGCGGCTCCTTTTTACGCACATCTCGTTACTCGTGCGGCCTTCCTCTCTCTCTCTCAGCTACATAATGATGCTTTTTATCAACTGAATATGTGAGACTTCCATCAACAGCAAAAGAATCATGTTTTTGTGGGTTTTTTATGTTCACAAGCACATTCCCTCTCACGGATTACTAAACTGCTGTTTTGACAAGTTATCAGATTGTCTAAAAATAGTTAGTTTTTTAGTTTAGTATAACTCCGCTTTTACGTTGCCTATTAACACAATTTAAAAACTGGGGTGTAGGTTATAATCTCCTTTTTAAAGCTGAATTGAAAACGAAACTCAGGGAGGCGGAGTCTTGCTGCTACAGCGTCCCAAATCAGGCCTGTTCAAAAGACGCGGATACGCGTCCACGGACCCCAGAGGGTTCAAAAAAGGACCAAAAATGGAATTAGAGGGCAACGTCCCTCTTCGGCCATTTTCAAAGAAGAAAAACTGACACCCTCCCAGCTTGCTGTAACTTTCCCTCCTACATGATTGAGACATTAGACTGTTTTGTGTGTTTATCACAGTAAAATTCTTACATTTTGTACCTTTAAATAAATACAAATTATATTTATGTAGCCCGAGAGTGCCTGCAACCTGATGACTTTGGCCCTCGCCTTGAAAAGTTCGGACACCCCGATCTAGACGCGCTGATTACAGCATCAGCAGATCAGATACTTGTTAGCACAAATATCTAATCAGACGCCCCCATAGCAGCAGCTCATAGACGTTCATACGAGTCAACAAGTCCTAACTGACTGTTGGGGCCAGATGGTCTAGTCCAGCCTTTCTGAAATGGGGGTACGCGTACCCCTGGGGGTACGTAAAGAAACTCCAGGGGGTACATCAGAGAAGCAGACTGTGTCTAGAAAAGAGCTTGATCTCAGCAGTTGCCTCCCTGCCACCAAGGATGAAAAAGATCCTCGGTGAAGCACAAGCCCAGGTGTCTCACTAAAAAGTCTGTAAAAACACTCCGATCAGTGCAGTAATGTTAAGATTTCAGTCTTCTTTTTGATTTTTAAAAATATATTTTGAGATTTACATTTGTTTTTAGCAATTGTTATTTAAAATGACGTTGATGATTTATTTTAGAGAACAGATATACTTTGATCCCAAAAGAGAACACTTTACGTTGACATGCTTTTTATGAGCACAAATCTTTAATTATAATTAGCTTAATCATTTCTTTGGCCTGTATTTGATATATATATTTTTATATTTCTAGTTATATATATATATTTTTCCAAATAGTTCAAGAGATACTACAAAAAATGTGCAGTGTTTTGCACATTTATGGATTTTTCAATGGGTAATCTTATGGTTTTAAATAGTTTTATGGTGACTGTTTTCAATTAATTAATTAGAATCACATTTTAGTGATGAAAAATATTTCCAATACATTTAATTATGGAGTATTAACATTTAAAATATTCAAAATAGTTTTTTTTCCCCAAATGGTTGAATTTTGTACTTGTTTATCAGTTTCAAAGTTTAATAAATCAGTCACTGAAGGCACCGTGCTCTATTTAAGGTCTTTTGTTTTTTACAACCAAAAATGTTTTTGCGCTGATTAGGGGTACTTGGCTGAAAAAAATATTTCATGGGGGTACATCAGTGAAAAAAGGTTGAGTACCACTGGTCTAGTCTGAATATTTCCATTTTAAATGTCTTCCACAACCTTTATAGTCTTTACACAGAGCGATCCAAAGTCTAGAAAATATCCAGTGAACCTCAGTTATTTGTATTAAAATGCTTCGATGATGTCAGAAGTCAGAAAATGGTGAGAGTGGTAACAGATGACACTCGTAGATGCACAGCACTACGAGCTTCAAGGTCTGCAGAAAACCTCCGAGCCTCCACAAATAAAACCTCGAACCAAAGTGCCTCTCCGATCAGCTAAGAGCTGCGAAACTGAAGCTGCAACCCACACAGCATCACCAAAACTGGACACCGATCTTCATTTTTGATGTGCATTATCAGGCACCCAGGTGGAAGGCTGTTTTACACAAACAGACATTTTCTGAAGTTATTTATTACACAAATCAAACAAATATGACCAGTTTGGCCCAAATGACCTGAAATTGTAGGTTTGTAAAAGGAGAAGTCATAGCAAGATCCCCACCCTTTCCCTCAGAGCCATCTGAATTCTGACATGTTGAGTCTTGTCTCTCAACGTTCCTCGATTGCGTCGCTCAGAAACGGGACCAGACAGACTCACGGTTTCCTGTGAACGTTGGTCTGGGTGTGTTTACGTGCACTGGCTTTGCACAGAATGCAGAACGGCAGCCACGATCAGCAGCACACTGCATGTCTGCTTAATAGATCTGCCAATACCGCATTCTGTGCTTTGCTTGTTTTTCCTGTAATGGCCGCATCAATCTGACGAACGCTTTTTCACGGCGCTGCAGAGAAAAGTGCAATTCCTCTCTTTCCTGTTTCCCCTTTCCCACCCCACCCCCTTCTTCTCTAATCACTCCCGACTTTCTCACCTCTTAAACCCGTACTCACGTTGTTATTGCAGCCGTTGTTGTTTTCGAACCTGGTCTCGATGCGAACGCTGAACTTGGGGAGGAACGATACCTAGCGAGGGGAAGAGGCAGAGAGTGAAGGCAGACTGCAGATTAAAGTCAACGATGGTGAAAACAGATGAACCCTGTTGCTTTCATGCAAAGTAAATGACGTGTGAGAATACTTACGGAGTACTCTGCAACACCAGAGACGTTCAACATGGAAGAGGAAGAACAGCACTAGTTACTCTGCTGCAGGTGCATTGAACTGTAGCCACACACATTCGGTACAAAACACCAGCAACGCATCATGCATTAGATAAATAAGACATGGGCTTGTGAGTGCAACGAGTAAAACACACACCTGTGACGGTGTACGGGTAAAAGTTCCAGGCTGTTTCTGTCACATAGAAGATTTGTGGGACGAAGGTTTTTATCCACGTTGGCAGTTTACTGAAAAACAAAAGAAAAGAGGAAGAAATCAGAGCGAGTGAAGGTGTAGGAGAGCAGGAGGGAGATTACAGGAGACAAGAAAGAAATCCAAAGTGTTTTATTGTCCCATTTATAGCAAGATTACCTGTAGGCTACTTTCAGCACAGTGTTCATTTGTATGACTCATTCTCAATTATACCTGTGGCAATAAACCGATACTGTAGCTTCAAAGTCGTGTTTCAGAACACAGCTGAAGTCCAACCGTCAGTGTGTGTGTGTGTGTGTGTGTGTGTGTGTGTGTGTGTGTGTGTGTGTGTGTGTGTTCCTGCACTCTTTATTAACAAGGACCAAATGTCCCATGAGCGTATTAAGATTAGAAAAATCCTCCCGAGTGAGAGCATGTCTTCACTCCTTCAAGAGTATATTTAAGGATTAGACCTTGGGTTTGCAGCGGTGATTGGAGTGAGACTCGAGGTTATATTAGGGTAATAAGTGAGGTTATCCCAGGGTTAGGAAATGAGTTAATAAGAGTTCTGGTTGTTATTTTAGACCGGTCTTACATCAGAGCGACGATTACATTCGGAACACAGAGCTAATAAAGCACATCGTTGGGCACGGTGACATAAATGCTCCACTCAGCAGAACAAGAGGCTGAAATTCCAGCTTTGAGGAGATAAAATAGTTTTTATTTTTTTTTTTTTGGGGTGGTGGTGGTGGAGGTGAGGTGGGGGTGGTGTGGGGGTTGGGGGGTTGGATCAAATTAGAGAATTTTTATTACATAGATGTAAAATAAATAATTAATATACTTACAGAATATTTCGTTTGAAGCTTACTAGTTTGTTTCCAAACAAAGTATTAAGCTCCAAATAAATATTTACTTTCCCCAAAAATATTTAGATTGATGCTAAATATTTATTTTAGAGCTAAAACTAAATACTGATTTAGCAAACAAAATTTTTGGCTGCAAAATAAACATTGTGCTAGGATATAAATATTTATTTTGGAAAATAAAAATCCTATTTTGAGCTAAATATTTAGTTCAGTTTGGATCAAATTGGAGATTTTTTATTATATAGATGTGAAGAAAAACAAGGGCGAGAATGAAAAATCTTAAACATTTCATGAGCGCAATTACTCTATAGCGTAAATATTTAGTTTGTAAAATAAATAATTAATTTACTTACAGAATATTTCATTTGAAGCTTAATAGTTTGTTTCCAAACAAAGTATTAAGCTCCAAATAAATATTTGTTTTCCCCAAAAATATTTAGATTGATGCTAAATATTTATTTTAGGGCTAAAACTAAATACAGATTTAGCTAACAAAATTTTTAGCTGCAGAATAAACATTGTGCTAGGATATAAATATTTCTTTTGGAAAATAAAAATTTAATTTTGAGCTAAATATTTAGTTTGTAAACTAGATATTTAGCTCCAAATTAAACAATTTATTCCCCTAAATAAATGTTTATTACACGAATTAAATGTTTAGGTTTGACCTAAATATTTAGTTTAAGAACAAAATAATTAGCTCCAATTGAAGTATTTATTGCCCCCAAAAATATTTAGATTCCAGTTAAATGTTTATTCTGAGGTTAAACCTAAATTTAGATTTAGAAAATTAAATGTTTAACTAAAAATAAATATTTGACTTGGATCTAAATATCCATCCATCCATTTTCTACACCCGTCAGGCAGGGTCGCGAGGGGCTGGTGTCAATCTCCAGCAGTCTCCGGGCAAGAAAGTGGGGTACACCCTGAACAGGTCACCAGTCCATCGCAGGTGACCTAAATATTTATTTAGTAAAATAAATATTTAATTTTGAGCAAAATATTCAGTTTGTAATCTAAATATTTTGCTCCCAACAAAATATTAATTTTACAAACAAAATATTTAGGTTTGACCTAAATATTTTGTTTGGAAAATAAATATTTAACTCAAAATTAAATATTTAGCTTGCTAAATGAAAAATTTGTTGGGAACTTTACCATTTATGCAAGTGTGAACAACATGGTGAAAACATGACTTTAAGAAATAAACTCCCATTTTATTTTAGGTTAAAAAACCCAAAATACTGATGTTAAATTATGATTGTTTGACTTTTGAAACGCACTAATTTAGTAGCATGCCACTGAAACCACTAAGTCCGGTCAATACGTAACTAAGGCCTTCTATGTCTTTGTTTGCACATGCTTAAAGAGTAAAACAATCCTGTGATTTGATATGAAGTTGTTGGATTCAAGATTAGATCTCTGAGAGTGACATTAAGCTCTGATAAGTTACTAAACTACTAATGTGAGGCTTAACTAGAAACACTGAGCATAAAAACGCTGAGTGGCATGCGACGCCCTGAGCCATGCTTTTGACTTGATGAACTAAAAATGAGATCGTAATCATAGTAATTTCATACCCCTAGTCCTCCTGGCCCTTTATCCATTTGGCTCATTGGAAACGTTTTAAGTTGTGACCCGCTTTCTAAAACAGGAGCAATAAAAAAGGAACACAAAATGTGATTTAAGCAGAAAAGAGATCATTTAAATGATTAGTGCTTCTCGCTGAATGGTTGAAGAGACAATCTGTAGTTTTACCATTAATTTCTGGAATTCAAATTCAAAGATACTTTATTAATCCCAGAGGGAAATTAGAGTTTCAGTACACACAATTCTGAGATCAGACATACATGCATAGATAGACACATGACAAGAATTATCCATCAAAATGTTGTTGAAAATGAATGATCCACTTCAGGGTTCTGTCACTTTTAACAAAGCATGTTGGAGCTGGTCACACCCACAGATTTCATTTCATTTATTCATAAAGCCCCTTCTGCGACCAATGCAGACGCCCAAGGTGCTGAACACAGCACAATAAAAACATAAAACCATCAGAATAAAATATAACAATCGTAAAACCAACATAAAATCAATTAAAAGAGGAGAGTAAAAGCAAAAAATAAAATCCTGAAAAAGATTAAGAGGCCGAGGCAACGAAACTGGGTAAAATTTGCTAATCCTGAAATGCCTTGACAAAAAATGGGTCTTAAGGCGAGTCTTAAAAACCCCCAATGAGGGTGACTGACGCACCACCAAAGGCAACTGGTTCCAAAGTGCAGGTGCCAACACCGAGAACGCACGGTAGTGCGTGGAACGATCAACAGCTCCCTGCCGGCTGAGCGAAGGGCCCGCGAGGGGGCGTGCATATGCAAAAGGTTGCCAAGATATGCTGGAGCAGTTCCACGTAAGGCCTTGTATGCCAGTACCAAGACCTTGAATTTTGCCCTGTATTGCACAGGAAGCCAATGAAGGGATGCCAACACAGGGGTGATATGCTCCCTGCGCCTAGTGCCTGTCACGAACCTAGCGGCTGAGTTTTGTACTAACTGCAAGCGTGCTACCACACCCTGACTAAGGCCGGCACACAGTGCACTGCAGTAGTCGAGCCTTGAAAGAACAAAAGCATGTGTGACAGTCTCTAGATGTACTCTGGACAGCAGGGGCTTAACTCTGGCTAGTCGGCGTAAGTTAAAAAAACACGATCGCACAACCTGGTTGATTTGCGCGTCGAATTTAAGGGCTGAGTCCAGTTGCACTCCCAAATTTCGGATGGTGGTCTTCATGTTGGATGCTAAAGGGCCCAGATTCACAGCATCGCACGGGCGTGTAGACGTGCCAGGGCTAAGTACAATTACTTCGGCCTTAGCGTCATTCAGATGTAAAAAGTTTGTGGCCGCAGATACCCCATTCTGGCTGCTACAGTCAGGTCCATCAATATTGGGACATGGACACAAGGCTAACATTTTTGCTCTATACACCACCACTATGGATATCAAATGAAATGAACAAGATGTGCTTTAACTGCAGACTGTCAGCTTTTATTTGAGGTATTTACATCCAAACCAGGTGAACGGTGTAGGAATCACAACAGTTTGCATGTGTGCCTCCCACTTGTTAAGGGACCAAAAGTAATGGGACAGAATAAGAACCATAAATCAAACTTATGCATTTCAATACTTGGTTGCAAATCCTTTGCAGTCAATTACAGCCTGAAGTCTGGAACACATGACATCGCCAGACGTTGGGTTTCATCCGTGGTGATGCTCTGCCAGGCCTCTACTGCAACAGTCTTCAGTTCCTGCTTGTTCCTGGGGCATTTTCCCTTCAGTTTTGTCTTCAGCAAGTGAAATGCATGCTCAGTCGGATTCAGGTCAGGTGATTGACTTGGCCACTGCAAAACAGTCCACTTCATTCCCTTCAAAAACTCTTTGGTTGCTTTTGCAGTATGCTTTGGGTCATTGTCCATCTGCACTGTGGAGCGCCGTCCAATGACCTCTGAGGCATTTGGCTGAATATGAGCAGATAATGTCGCCCGAAACACTTCAGAACTCATCGTGCTGCTTTTGTCAGCAGTCACATCATCAATAAATACAAGAGAACCAGTTCCACTGGCAGCCATGCATGCCCGCGCCATGACACTTCCAGCACCATGCTTCACTGATGAGGTGGTATGCTTAGGATCCGTCTCCAGACTCTTCTCTTCCCATCACTCTGGTACAAGTTGATCTTGGTCTCATCTGTCCGTAGGATGTTGTTCCAGAACTGTGAAGGCTTTTTAAGATGTTGTTTGGCAAACTCTAATCTGGCCTTCCTGTTTTTGGGGCTCACCAACGGTTTACATCTTGTGGTGAAGCCTCTGTATTCACACTGGTGGAGTCTTCTCTTGATTGTTGACTTTGACACAGATGCACCTACCTCCTGGAGAGTGTTCTTGATCTGGCCAACTGTTGTGAAGGGCGTCTTCTTCACCAGGGAAAGGACTCTTCGGTCATCCACCACAGTTGATTTCCGTGGTCTTCCGGGTCTTTTGGTGTTGCTGAGCTCACCGGTGCGTTCCTTCTTTTTGAGAATGTTCCAAACTGTTGTTTTGGCCACGCCTAATGTTTTTGCTATCTCTCTGATAGGTTTCTTTTGTTTTTTCAGCCTAATGATGGCTTGCTTCACTGATAGTGACAGCTCTTTGGATCTCATCTTGACAGTTGACAGCAACAGATTCCAAATCACTTGAAATGAACTCTGGACCTTTTATCTGCTCATTGTAATTGGGATAATGAGGGAATAACACACACCTGGCCATGGAACAGCTGAGAAGACAATAGTCCCATTACTTTTGGTCCCTTAACAAGTGGGAGGCACATACGTAAACTGTTGTAATTCCTACACCGTTCACCTGGTTTGGATGTAAATACCCTAAAATAAAAGCTGACAGTCTGCAGTTAAAGCACATCTTGTTCATTTCATTAGATGTCCATTGTGGTGGTGTATAGAGCCAAAAGTGTTAGCATTGTGTCCATGTCCCAATATTCATGGACCTGACTGTATAAGCTGAGAAGCTCTGCAATCTGGGAGGGGCTCAGAGTAGAGCTACTGCTCCTCTTGCCCAAACAGGTGAGAGGTATTTTTATTCTGATTTCCCCTTTTGTGATGTCACAACGGCTTGATTTGGACATATAGCTCCTTTGCTTTGGATAAAAGCATCTGCCAAATACCTAAACCTTAATAGAATAAACTAAAACAGAAGAAAAGAAAATACTTTTGTTGTTCAACATTTACCAATAAAAACTATTTAGTTTACTCTAGACCGATGTTGTGGTTTGAATCTTTCATGTTGCTGCGACCCAGCAGATTTTTTTGAGTATCTAAAATATGTAATTATTAATGAATAAGCACGCTTGACGTATAATAAACCTTTTATCTTTGTAGCAACGTTTTAGTTCATCAGATTAAACAGTTAATAATCTGGGTAAAAGTTTTATTATCATGACTAATATTTGATCATTTTCTCCTTTTGGAGTGGTGGTTTGTTTAGGCTCTGACTGCTGACAAACATTTCTGTGCTGCAAAGGAAAATAATGAGAGGCAAAAAATTTCTCTTGCATCCTGCAATTATCGCCATCATGATGGCGTGGAGGGGTGCCCCCCCCCCCCCCCTCCAGCTGAAAGCCTGTATTTACACAATTAGAGCACTTAAAGGTTTACTGGATCATGAGCTGTGGGAACAGAAGCATGTTAGGCTGCAACCTCACACTAAGGACTGTGACGTAAGTCGGGCATGATGGGTGTTCATGTGTTGTAGCCAGAGACCGGGACAGACGCGAAGCTTCAGGGTCCAAACGGCATCAGGTATCGTAACGATAGAACCGACAACCTCAGGACAGGACTGAACGAAGGCCGACGAACTTACCTCGTGAGGTAGATTCTTTTCTCGGTCACCTGTCCCACGCCGTGCAGGGGGTGAGTGTCCTGCTCGTTCCTCACCACCTCCACCCCGTCTCCCCCATCACTCTCCTCACAGCTGTGCTTGCTGATCATGTAGAGCTGCCCAATCCTGTACTGGAACCACGGAGAAGATCATGACGGTCACGGTGGGAAAAACACGGAGAGACGGCGAAAAAGTGGTTAGAAATCACGACTGAAAAACGGTGACATCATCTTTCTAGTTTCTCAAGAGTGACCTGTCTTTCGTCACATCAAAGCTGAAGAGTCAGCAGATCTTTGCTGCCATGGGTCTTCTTAAATGTCCAGACTTTTATTTTTCTCTCTCCTCAATAAAATTAATATTCATGTTAAAGGGGACATATCTGACCTTTTTTCCTAGGTTAAAATAGTTCTAATTTCTAAACCAAACACGTTTATGAAGTTCTTTATAAAAAGTCCCTCTAACATTAGTGATTAGATTGCTTTAATTCTTGACATTTTCAGTACCATCCAGAATGCGCCGTTTCAGGGCTCTGTCACGTTAAGAAAACAAGGTGGAACTGGACATGTCCACATATCCGCTGACTGGCTGCTATAAGCTGAGAAGCTCCTCCAGCAGCAGGTTTCTTTTGCATTGTAATGGAGTGAAATGACTGTTTTCCACCTAAAAGTCCCCCCCCCCCCCCCCCCCCCCCCAGCAAGAACAAATCTGCATGAGATATTGTTCAAGGTCTCACGCATCTGCTTCTAAACTGTTTTCCTTTCCAGCTCAAGAGAAGAATGAAGACAAAGGACTCTTTCTTTTTAATAAATCAAAGAACTCTATTTTTAATAAGCTAATCAAACAAAGTGTTAGTAAATAACAAAAGTGTGACCCAGTTTGTGAAATGAAAATATAAATTACTTGATATTATAATCCTACAGAATATAATGAGTAAAATAACTTGAAATGTTTCCACTAGAGACTGATCACACGTAGCATTAAGAGACGACACATTGCTTTTACTGATCCAGTCAGAATCTGCCAGATCTGACGGAGGCGTGGTTTTGGTGGTGCTTGGTAAATCTGTCCTCTTTTCATTCGACCGTAAACCAAAACATCCGAATTATAAAACTATGCCCACGTCATCTTTAACGCCAGTTCACAGCGTTCTAGAGAAGTTGTCAGAGTGGCCAATCCATAACTTTCCTCTTCAGCCGAACGAACCAACGACAAGCTGGATAAAATCTGTTGCTGTTCCAACCAAGCAACGGTTCCTTTCAGAATACAAGCTGAACCATCACGACCCCGTTTTGGGTCTCGCTAGATGCCAACAAACTGTCGTAACCCATGAGTATCTCAAGACTGGACTGGCCGGCGGCCGCGGCTGTTCTACAGGCTTCGGCTTCAGAAAGGTCCAAGCTGGACCTCTACACTTCCTGATCTAGACAGGGACTTCCGCCAAGGGTACATAGACCGACAGAATGGCATAGAATGTGTTTATGAATCTCCTAACCAAAGCTTAGTGCGAAGACATCACCTTCACTTCCCATCAGAACTAATCGTTTCTCCGGATTTGCTGGTTCTGAGCAACATTCCACACTACACCATTCTCCGTCTCATTCACCTTAGTTACACCATACATTTAGTGTTTAAGTTAGTCTAGTTTTACTTTGTTTAGTAATAAATCTTTAAACTTTTAAAACTTAACTCTCTTTCTGTTGTCTCTGAGTGAATACGAAGTGTTACATAATCCCTGCAATAAAAAGTCCCAATCTTCTGGTTAAAAGAACCCAACGATCCATAAGATTGAGTTCATATTTACTATGGAATCTTATGTCTTATGGCTCATTAAATAATATGTATATTAAATTCTTACAGCAAGAAGGAGGTGGTCCTGTATTTTGTGACATCACAAACAGGGACTTTATAAAACAGCTTTTTTAGGCCCGTAAATCCTAAAACCAGACCTTTTTTTTTACGTATTGGGAGTGTTTATAGAAGCAGTAGAGACTCACATGGCAGCACTAAAGGATCCAAAAGGAAAGTTTTGCATGATATTCCCTCTTGAAAGTCTCTTTCGTAGACCTTTTGTCTGCAGCTACCTTCATAGATTTGGGATTCAGGTCATAAAGTGCACAGCAAGAGTGGTGTTATAACTTGGTTTTGTACAACTTCACCTCTGGTTGGTGGAATAGTCACTCTGCAGATGAGGAACCACAGTATGTGTGGTTTGTGGAATGTCTAATAACACTTCCTCTTGCTAAAATGCAACATTTAGCAGCGGTAAACCTTGACGTCCTGAATTCATGTTCCTGTTTTGTTGACACATGTCACCCGTCTTAGCATTGTTGCTGACCAAGCAGCCCCCACCCCCCGCTGCTTCATCAGCCCTCCCTCAGCAGGACGAGTACAGGAGCAAAAACTGCTCAGGGGAAGCAAAAAGTTTTCCTAATTCCAAACTGGGTCTGTGGATCAACCAGGAATACGTCAGAGTGAAACATCCAGTGCCAAACATCACAGGACATCCTGGGCGGTGGATTGCTGGAGGTAGAACATAGTTATGGCCGATCTGGGTTAGACGTTTGGGTTGTACTGATACGACTTCAGCTTTTAGCAAAGTATTGTTTACTTGTGTTCTCATTTTATGCTCACCGCTTTGATTAAACAAACTATGATTTAGGTGATTGTGTCAGGAAATAATAAAATAATTGTCTTTGCACCGGGGGAAACAAAAGTAAAGCAAGCCCTTGGGCTCTTTGGTGTTTTATCTAAATCTACTGTCAGAATCTTTGAGAAAACCTTTAACTCAGGCTTCTCAGGTTAGGGTCAGAGCCGTGTCCAGGACTTTTAAAATGGGGTGGCCCATGTGGAGCGCTTGTTTATGCATGGGTGGCACCAATGGTTATGCTTATTTTTATTTACACAAATCGTTAATTTAGTTATTTTTTTACTTTCTAGTGAGTTTTTGCGTTTCACATTGCACAATCACCATTTTTTCCTCTTCATCTTCTAGTTTTGTGGTGGTTAGCAAGTCACTTCTTGTTGCATTACTGCCACCAACTGGCGTTGAGTAGGACTCTAAATACTATTTACGTAAATATGAAAAAATAATGAATAATATTAATACTACAGAAATGTTCTGTAGGCCTGGGCTTGTAAACAATATTGAAGGTGCATGCTACCACACTATTTTGGAGTTTACAACCCACGCCTTTTGTCGACAATGTAAAGTCAATTTAAACTGGAACTTGGTAGGGTGGCACCTGGAGTGGCCAATCAGATTCTAAGGGTGGCGTGGCCTACCCCAGGCCACTCCCTGGACACGCCCCTGGTTAGGGTTACCCTAAGCCCAACAATAATCGTCAGGTCTCTCATCCAGTCCAGTTTCTATCAAATACTGCCAAACGTTTCTGGTTCTGCCGTACGCTGATGAAAAGATGACTGTGTTCCACGCGAGATGCCTCCAGGATTAGCTCTAAATGACCACGATGATGACATGAAGTCCTGTCCTTTCAGCGGATATTAACAGTGAAAGAATGAATCAAACCAAATAAGGAAGATGGAAGAAAATAAAGCTTTGGATCCTTATTTAAACACTTGGTTTTTGGGCTTCGCTGTCTGTGTTTAAATCAAATTCCCTCATGTCCATTTCTGCAAATTGAATCTGATCAGTCATGTGGATGTTTGGTGTTGCAACAAAGGTGCGGACTTAGTTCTTTGCTGCTGATTCTGATTAGACAGCAGTTTTTTATTTTAGTGAGCCTGAAGAGGACAAAGCCTTTGGACATGTCACGTCACCCTTGTTGCTCTCAACCCGACCAAATCCGTGTTATCTCAAGGATTCCTAAAACAAAAACTCCTCGTGTTTCACTGATTCCTGTCAATAACCCTTTAATGCCTAACGCAAACATTTTATTAGGTAAATAAACAATATTTCAACAGCAATAACAACATATAATTGGCACATGTGTCCTGCAGTACTTAGATCTCCCACAAGGAGGCTTCAGAGTTTAATGGAGCAGTTTGAGGAATGTACAAATCCTGATGAAGAGATAGAGGTCTAAAAACCAGTAATATACAGAATACATACGATGCGTTCAGTGGCGGATTTAGCAATTTGGGGGCTCAAGGCGAACACAGACATGGGGCCCCCTTACACAAAATTTTCGACAATCTTATCTTTAACTGGATTTGCAAAACTCTCCCCTCTTCTGACACGAGTTATTTTCACTTTTTATTAGTCCTCCTCTTTTTCCTGTCTTTTTCTCCCTTTGAGTGCTTTCTTCTTCCTGTCAGTGCTCCTGTGCTTTTGCCTTTCTTTTTTTCTTCTTCTATTTTCCATTTTGGTCTATATTTTTCTCCCTTTAAACATTTTCCATTGTCTTTCCTTTTCTGCTTCCTTTTGAAGTTTACATAAAAAAATGATGTCCCTTTTGGAAGTGAAGATAAAAACTTTTTTAACCCTCCCACTGTCCTAATGGGTGTGACCCCATGAGGAAAGATGACCATTGAGCAGGATTGATAATTTATCCTTTGAGGTCCACGTGGCAGGGGTGAGGTGGTGCTCACTCCTCACCCCTGCCGCGTGGACCCAAGGGATAAACCATCAACCCTGCTCAATGGTCAAATTTCCTTGCAGGGTCACACCCATTAGGACAGTGGGAGGGTTAAAGCAAACTGCTTCTTTCTCCTATTGGAGCCACTAGGATAACTCCATTTCATGATAAATGTTTTGACTACCGCTTCGAGTTTGTTACGAATACTCCCGCCTTTCTTCTTCTTCTTCTTCTTCTTCTTCTTCTTCTTCTTCTTCTTCTTCTTCTTATTTGTGGTCATACAGCACTTGAAAAACAACAATTTGGTGCATTACTGCCACCAACTGGATTGGAGTGGAATGACTACCAATCACTTCCTGTTTGTGCATCGAGTATCAAAGGAGTAATCCATTGTGGCATTAACTCATTCACTGCCAATGACGACTGAAGTCGTCATTTGCATACTTTTATTGTGTGGGCGTCGGACGAGCCCCCACACCGTGAGAGCAAACATCCCGGCTCTAAAGCCGATCTTCATCCGCATACGTCACACTTCACGTGATCAGGAAGCAGAAAATCCATGTGTTTGGAGATTGTTTTTGGGCCGCTGCTGTAAAAAAAAGTGAGGCGCGAACCGGAAAAGCATCTGCCGATCACAATTCAAAAACTGATTATGAAAGAACGGAAAACGCTCGAAACACGCGGATTCTTCCTGATGTAAGAGGTGAGTCTCCGCTTTGTTTTGATTGTTTTGGCGTCGACATTCTCCTAGCGCGCAACGTTCTGTCACTCTTAAAAAAACAGTAAAAACGGTGAGAAACGCTGGCAGCAAATTACTTAACAGAGGGGTGCCAGCAGTCAGGGCTAGGGGACCCCAACATAAGGGGGCCCCAGGTGTCCGCCGACCTGTGCCTAATGGTAAAACCGCCATTAGATGTGTTTGCCTTTAGAGGGTTAATAACCTTTTGTAGAGAAACACCACTGAAAAGCAGTTGATTTAGTTGGCCTACACCAGTTTGGCACCAAAGCACAGTTTCAATTACAAGCAGCAGCAAGCAAAGACAGAAAGAGGAGGGCAGACAAGTGCCCGACATCCTTCACTGCTGACATCGTGTGACACTCCTTCCTGTTCCAATTACAGAGGAATGTCAACATTCAATATTTACCTTGGGTATCCATTGGACTTAATGACTCAAATAGCTTTATGGCTGGGATAAAAGACACCCTGGATGTCTTTTGAATCTAATTTTTATTCTTTCTACATCAGATTCTAGTGTAAAGTTTAAAACGACGTTTCGGGGCTTGAATCTTCATCACGGACCCAATGGCAGCTGTGAGTCACAGCTTGACAGTTTTTGGCATGTTGGTGTGAATTTTCTCCTTCAGTTTTTGTCTTTTTTAGTCTCGTCTAAAAGCATTGGGCTTGTCATGAATTCTAGAGATGCGTAAATATAGCTCAACATATCAAGAGAGAGACCGCGTCAGTGTGGCTGCGAATAAAACGGGAGGACTTACACGAGCCCTAACCGTTCGAAGAGAAAAGTGCTGATCAGTACATCGCCGTTGATGCTAAATATTAACCACTCCAGTTAACCCTGTTAACCATTGCTATCAGGAGTTCAGCACACCTAAACGATAGCTTGTTTTTCTGCTTTTGATGTTGTGGTTGTTGAAACTGACCCGTGCTGAAACAGAGATGTGTTCAACCTGTGGCTACGGGCCCACATGCAGTCCTCTGTCCGACCAAGTGTGGTCATTTTTCTCTATTTATTGTAGATTTTAAGGAGAACACAGCAAAAGTCCAGTGATTTCAGTAATTGCAGCTGTTCTGGATTCATCAGCTGATTTGAGTCTAGAATATTGAACCTTTTCACAATATTCTGATTATGGTAACACTTTACGATAAGGTACGCAAAATTGTGCTTCGTTACTAGGGAACGACTTAGGGGTAACAAGTAATGAAGCAGGGAAGAATAGGTAGTTAACCAGTAGTTACTGGTGACCACCCAGCAGTCTTATTCAGGGACTGATAGGTAGTTATCTATGAAAGCAATAAGGAACAAATCCCAGATGAATGTGGTGCCTGTGGACTCTCTTTTGTAAACTTCATGAAGGATGCAGATAATTAGCAACATCACAGTGATTTAACATCCCTGTTTCATCTTGATTTCACTCGTCTGTCACTTTGTCGTCCATCGTCAGCATCCGTCCATCTCGAGATGATGGAAAGTGAAGCCCCCTCCCAAGTACCTACTCAGGAACTAATCTGTACTTACTCAATATTTAACCATTACTTACGTGTTGTTACACGGCCATTTACCATGAAGACATTGAGCTCATTCACACATCGTTTTATTTCATCGTGTGTGTGGTAATATTCCAGAGATGGGTGACCAAAATCCTGCAGGTTACAGCGGTACCCGGCTCAAATCAATCACTAACAAAATGTTCAATGTTTAGGGTACTTTTTAAATAATCAGAAAAGTACACAAAAATAAACTTTTGCATTTATAAACTTTCAAATCAACATGTAAAAACACTCTAAAACCACCTATTCTCCCCTGCTTCATTACTCATTACCCCCTAAAGCTTGGTTTATGCTTGACGCGTCCGCGAGGTTCGCACGGCTCCGCGCGGCAAAGTTGCGTCATTTTAACAACCACGCCCCTCCACCGCGCCTCCGCACGGCCCAAACGTTCCGCACCGCGCACTTAAGAAATTTTCTAACCACGCAGACGGACGGACACGGAAAAACATGGCGGACTGGCAAGAACTAGTACGGCAGAGGTTCGTAAATACAGACATTTGTATGATTCAGCTCTCAGAGATCACCGTGATCAACATGTTGTTAATAATTCTTGGAGAGAAATAGCTCGCACTGTCGGAAAAGACGAGGACGCTGTTAAAAATGCTGGAATGCCACGTTGTAAACAGTAATTTCTACTTCTACTCTGGTGTAGTGTTGGATGCATGCCGTAGAGCTCCATGCTGCCCCCTACAGTTTGGGAGAATATTGACTCACCGCAGAGACGAGCCGCACGAACCATAAACGCTGCGAGTTGTGAAGCGCGTTCCATCCGCGAGCCGCATCACCAAGCGGAAAGTGAATGTGTCAAGCATAAACCAAAGCTTTAGTCGTTACCTAGTAACGAAGCACAAGTTTGCGTACCTTATAGTAAAGTGTTACCCTGATTATTTGAGATTTTGAGATGTGGGGTTTTAATACGCTGCAAGCCACAATCACCACAGTTATTAAAAATAAAGGCTGACATATCTGGCTTCGCATGAAATGAGTCTATCTCATAGATTAGTTTCACCTTTAAATTTGAATTACTGGCACAGATGAAGTTTGTGGCAACAGTAGCTCAGGAGGTAGAGCGGGTTGTAACCCACCTGCCTGCTGGTGGCGCCTGGCGTTCTGCAGCCTCGTCTCTGTCAGTGCATCCCAGGGCAGCTGTGGCTACATGGTAGCTCATCACCACCAGCGTGTGAATGTGGGTGCGTTGGTGCATGACGTTGCGAAGTGCCTTGGGGGGGCTGTAGAACCCTAGAAGGTGCTATACAAATACAGCCCATTTATCATTTTAGCCCGACTCTACTTCTTGTGTTCCACCTGTAGCGTATGGTCTTCATCCACACACAGTTTAATTAGTTTGTCAGCGTTTGTTCAGTCAAAGTGAACAGTGGTGTTCATGAGGGTAATTATGACATCATGACCTTTTGGAGATTGCCGTCATCTGAAAACTGATCAGAACCTTTAGAAAATTCACTCGGGGCGAGTCTTTAAAACTCAAAGAGCAGTCGAATGCATTTTACAGACTCTAGATCACTGTGAGACTAAAGGTTGGAAGATAAATGAAGCGCCATCTTCCACTAACACACTTAAGTGTGTGTGAATCTTGGAGTCGCCCGAGGACACGTTGGGTAATTGCTGAGAGGATGGAAGCGAACCATCTGCCTCATGAGCATCCCTCATAAACGCATCCCTTCAGGACGAGTGCAGCTGGGTAACCAGCCGCTGAAGACCGGCACCACGGGTACGTGTTCAGGTGTCTGTTTTCACTGGATGCATCCTCCAGTAAGCTGCGTTTTCACTTCACGCACATTCAAGGCGAAAGAGGATTTGCTGCACGCTCAAGTTGATGTGTGTCCTGCGCTGAAACGGCACATCCCGTTCTGGACTGCTATTTGTCACTTTCGTTGTTGTGGTACCAGGTAGAGGTGAGGGTTGGGGGGTGAGGGCGTTCCTTTTGAAGGACATTAGGGAATTACTTCCTCCTCGCCTCTTTCCTCTAACAGGATCTGTTTGTGTATAAATCTGCAGGCTTTGTCTGAGCTCAGGTTTTCCACAGCAGGAACTGGTTGGACGAGTTTGTGAGGCGCTCCAAGGACGAAACAAATAAAATTAAAAAAAAGCGAGGGGGACAGCGAGGCATAAAGCCCGGTTTATGCTTGACGCATTCACTTTCCGCACGGTGATGCGGCTCGCGGATGGAACGCGCTTCACAACACGCAGCTTCTATAGTTCGTGCGGCTCGTCTCTGCGGTGAGCCAATATTCTCCCAAACTGTAGGGGGCAGCATGGAGCTCTACGGCATGCATCCAACACTACACCATAGTAGAAGCAGAAATTACTGTTGTTTACAACACGACATTCCAGCATTTTTAACAGCGTTCTCGTCTTTTCCGACAGTGCGAGCTATTTCTCTCCAAGAATTATTAACAACATGTTGATCACGGTGATCTCTGAGAGCTGAATCATACAAATGTCTGTATTTACGAACCTCTGCCATATTAGTTCTTGCCGGTCCGCCATGTTTTTCCGCGTCCGTCCGTCCGCGTCTTTAGAAATTTTCCGAGGTCCGCGTTGCGGAAATTCTGGGCCGTGCGGAGACGCGGTGGAGGGGCGTGGTTGTTAAAATGACGCAACTTTTCCGCGCAGAGCCGTGCGGACCTCGCGGACGCGTCAAGCATAAACCAACCTTAAGGAGGCCGATCAGCTGTTGTGTGTCGGTGCTGTCAGGCTGTCATCGCTCATCTTTGCAGACGACGCCTCACTATCCAAAGTGCCAAAGCCCCCCTGGAGCAGCTCTCTGGATCTTTTAAGTTTGAAAAGGCATGTCCACAACTTTAAATGCACCCCCACTTTGTCCATCTGTCCTGAGTGGACGTGTGAGTGAGTGTGTGTGAAGCGTGGGAAAGACAAACACTCACCTCCTCCACCGTCAGTGGCATGCAGATGCGATACTCCTTCATCAACATTGTGTTTGTCTGCGTGGAAGACGCGCCTGAACGTGAGTTTATTTATCCCAGCTGTCTCTGGCTTGCATAGCAGACGAGCTCAGGCACGCAGTCCCTCACCACAGTGACCTCCTTTCAGCGCTTTCCTTCCCCGTGTGCTGATGCCAGTGATCCGCGGAGTCCAGTCCAGCTCCTTCTATCACTCTTGTTTTCTCACTTTCCTCAGTCCTCAGAGGCCAGGCTCTGCTTTTTGTTTCTTGTCCTCAATTAATCCTTCAGACTCCACGTCTTAACTGCCGTCTTCCACCTTCCACGTCCCTTTCCTGCCTCGGATAGCTCCGTTTCCCCCCTTTTTACTTTCTGTTTGCTTGTTGAGGACAAACTGGAAAGGAGCCAAGATAAAAATGAAATCGAGCTGACCCAGTCGGAGCTTTGTCTAATTCCTCCTCATGTGGAACTTTGCAGAGCTGCTCCTCCCTGAACCACAGCTTTCAGTTCCTCACAAATTCCTTTGCCGGCTCCTTCCTTATTTGTCTTTTTTTGCCTCTAATAGTATCCGCTCCCCGCCCACTGTACTTTAGTACCTCTCCACCTGCACCACCTCCCCTGCTTTTGATCTTTATCTGTTATTCACTCTCACACAGGATCCTGTCAACAGCTTTCTTTTTCCTGGCAGCAGGAAACTTTTTGCGTCACCGTTGTTCGGGTTTCCTCCAACAGGCTCCTCTCTCCTTCACGGCTCACTTTCAGTTCCCTCTGTGTGCGTGTGTGTGTGCGTGTGTGTGTGTGAACGACGAGTGGGCCTGTGGATTAAACATTATCCGAGCCAAGAGAGCTTCAGTGAAGCACAGCGCAGAACTTGCTCACATTGTATTACCTCGTGACCTTCAGCTGGGTTTAATTGAATCCACTTTCAGTCAATGAGTGGTGGAGTTGAGGCGGTGGTAGCATATCTTCCGTGTGTCCATCCACGAGGCCGTGCTGGGCGATTACCGCTGCCTCGCTATCAAATAAGAGAAGCGGATGTTTGGTTTCTCTGAGTCGGCCCGGTGAGGCCCAAAACCAATAACCTCCACTGGATTAATCGTCTCGGGCAGAACTCACTTGGTTTGCACCTTGAGACGAGGCCAAAGCAGCTCTCTCCTCCACGTGTCTTTGCTATCATTTGCGCTGTTCTGAAAGAGCGGTGGAAATTCAATTCAATTCAAGTTTATTTATAAAGCACCAAATCACGACAAGAGTCGTCTCAAGGCACTTCACATAATAAACATTCCTATTCAGGTCAGTTCATTAAGCCAATCAGAAATAATGTTTCCTATATAAGGAACCCAGCAAATTGCATCGAGTCACTGACTAGTGTCAGTGACTATACAGCAATCCTCATACTAAGCAAGCATTTAGCGACAGTGGAAAGGAAAACTCCCTTTTAACAGGAAGAAACCTCCAGAGGATCCTGGCTCAGAATAAGCAGCCATCCTCCACGACTCACTGGGGATGGAGAAGACAGAGCACACACGCACACACACACACACACACACACACACACGCACGCACGCACGCACGCACGCACGCACGCACGCACGCACGCACGCACGCACGCACGCACACACACACACACGCACGCACGCACGCACGCACGCACGCACACACACACACACACACACACACACACACACGCACACACACACACCCTGGTGTCAGACTGTCAACGCTCATCTTTGCGGGGTTTTTTGCTATCTTATCAGATCGGTGTTTGGAAAAGGGAAGTCTCTTCAGAGAGCCGAGGTGTGCGTTGCTCGCTTCGGCCTCAATTTTCCCGCAGATTCACGCGGCTCTGACAGCTTGCGCAGCGGCGCTGTTTAAAGGACGACTGGTGAGGACTTAGATGTGTATTAAGCAGCTAATAGAATCACTGATTGCTTTGATTATTGGATTGCGAATAAACGGTTGCTGAGGCTCTCGGATGACTCATGGAACTAATCATCAAATGGATTTGATTGATTACTGTAAAGGTTGAGAAGAAAGGGTCTGCTGCACTCTTAATCATTGATCCTCTAGATTTTTTAACCAACCAAAGTCAGAGTTTGACATAAAGATGAAGAAGGAGAGACGGAGGTAGACAAGCGCACGATGTGATCTCTGTTTGAATGCATTACACAGAAAACATCATTTGCATTTACCGCTTTAATTTGATATTTAAAGCAGTTGTTTTGAATCCACTGGTGCTGTGATAGTGTGTAAATGCAAATGAGTCAAACAGAGAAGCACACCTTGAGCCTTAAACGCATTAAGCCCGAGTCATGCTTCTGCGTCTGCGTCACTGCGGAGACACGCAACGCCATCATCCGTCCTTGCGGGCCTGCTGGAGAGCTCCGCAAGGGCGGACGGAGTCGAGCTCTCTTTTCTAAACATCCGTCCGTCGAGACGGAGAACGCAAGCTTGTGATTGGTCAGGGCACCGCTGTCATCTACACCGCCACCATTGCGCCCTCAAAAACATAACAAGAGCCGAGAATAACTAGCGGCAGACACGGAGGAGCTTGAAGAATACCTCGCGATAAAACTCTAAAAACGGGAACGTTTAATTCCCCGTGACTGGAGGAGTGAAAAGATGCGCAGCAAGCATTTTATTTGTGGACGGAAATGACAGGAAACGTGGGTTTAGAGGTGGCGAGTGCATGAAGAGGTGGAGGAGGATGAGGGACACATTTGTCCGTGTTAAAAAGTCTCTTATATACAAAAAAACACAATATAAACACACTATCTTGGACCGATACATGACAGGATACCACAGAACAGCGCTACGCCCTCTGCTGTCCTGGCGGGGAATTGCTTTGCAACACTCCCCAGGAGACGGAGAAGTATGAGGGCTAAACGTCTCCGTCCGTACGTGTCTGTCCCTGTTGGAGCTGACGGAGAAGCATGACTCAGGCTTTAGGCACCACAGACCTAGAGAAAACAATCTCTTGATATCATCATTTCATCAAACTACAGGCTGATTTCCAATGGGGGCGTGGCACCATGGCTGAGAGGATGGAGCGGTTGTCCCGTCTGAAAGGTCGTGGGATCGATTCCCATTTCTGGGTGATCACATACCGAAGCATCCTTTGGCAAGATGCTGAACCAAGTTGGCCGCCAACACATTCTCCCACCCAAAGTGCGGAAAAATGACGAAGGGTGACCAAGTGTCTGTTCCCGACGCGTTGGGAGGCGACGCGCTGTGCCGGAGCGTCGCTTTCTGACGCCCGCGGTAAAACAGAGATTTTAGCGAACTGTGACCTTTATTTACCCTCACCCCCATCTTAACCTCAACCCACTTGCGCATGAAAAACTTTGTTTCTTGTTGCATCGTTCCTCTCAAACATGGTTAACGGCAAATTTAGAACGACAAGATGGGTTAAGGTTAGGATGGGGGTGAGGGGAATGTTAAATTGCTAGAGGTTAGAGGTTAAATATCAGTGAATTATCCGTTTTTACCGCGGCCGTCAGAAAGTGACGCTCCGGCACAAACGCTTGGTCATTCTTCATCATTTTTTGACGCTTTGAGTGTGAGAATGTGTTGGGGTGGGATACAAATTGCAGCCCACTGATCTTTACCAATGTAGGGATGGATCCAATGCAGAGAAACATTTCCCCAGGGGTTCAAAAAAGCATAAGAAAAATCTCCCTTTTGATTATAAACGATGTTTTGTTTTAAAGCTGTATCACACCACGTCTGGCCTTAAATCACCCAGATGGAGGATTATGATTTGTACTTTCATCAGAAAACTGCCATGTTCAGTCCTATACATGCCTACATCAACCCCGGTGGTTAGGACAAATTTAATCTATTTACTGTTAACTTTTAACATCACAACATAAAATTAAACAGACTGTAGTTTTGTTTATTTACAATAAGTCAATAAATAGTTCAGTTTAGTTATTTGTGTTATTTAATGTTTCATGCTTTAAAAATTTAAATCATTCATCTGATAAATTTCAAGTGTTTCATTTTCTCGTGTTCTTTAAATCAGTGATAAAATAGTTGTGGTGTTCCACAGGGTGTTGGGCTTGGTTCTGTTTATTTCTCTCTGCAGATGATGCCGTTAGGAATTAAAAGAAGATGACCTAGCTTAGGAATCCAGACCGTCAGCAGGATCCTCAGCAGACTTACCATTGGCCTGAGTTGTGTCATACAAATAACAGCACTCTATTGGTTTGGTGAGCCAGTCAAAGTGATCTGTTGGTTTCCTGGGAGGGATGATGCAATGGAGAGAAACAAGATGGAGACAGCTTGTTGGAAACGGCTTTGGCGTCAACTTTGGACTATTCAGACTTGGGATTTCCTTTGAGTTAAGAGCAGATAGAGGTTGTTTATTTGTATTTGGGTCTATGGCGGACTGCCTCGTGACTAACATCTGTAGCGGTTCTTCGTTGCCCAATAGCATGCACAGACTGAAAGTCAACCACAGATGTTGCTCCACAACAGAGCTCTTCCCTATTGGTCATGGGCAGATATAGGATGGCTTGTTAAGCTAAAGATGACCAGCTATCAACGAAGTCAGGTGATTTATCTAATTAATTAAATCTGAAAGTTTTGTCATTGACATTCATATTAAAACTTTTTTTAAAGTTTTTTATTTCTTGGCCCTAAAACTTCCAGGAAAGTTTCCAATCATATAATTACATTTGATAACTTGACATTTTTATTCAGAGCCACTGTTAAAACCCTTTGGAATAATTTTTGCATCCATCTGCACCTAATCTCAAAAATCAGGAACATTTTGTTCAGAGCTGATTTCTCATCAATCAATGTTTGTGTTTTAATCTATTTAGCATTATGAGCTACACTTGTTCACTTGAAAGTGGTTTAAAATAATCTTGAGTCGCATTCCACTTTGTTTATTGCTGCTTTCTAAGTAAGAAACTTACAGGAATTTTTAATAGGAGCAACACAAAGTGAAACTGCTCACAACAAACAACATGAAATGTTATGTTTCAGGTTGTGTCACATTTTCTTAGTTCCTGCTTCCAAGTGTGAATAAATAAAATGGAAGAAGCTGAAAGTCTAAAAGTTTGTGTGCAAATGTAGCGTGGACCTAGCCTAGTGAACTAGACCAAATTCTCGCTTTGCAAAGTTTGGTCTAGGAACGCTCCACTGGAACCTCTGCAGCACATAGCAGCATTCTGGCTGGCCAATCACAGCTCTCTGGAGGGGTTTCAAACACATAAAGAGCTGCGATTGGTCAATAATGGTGCGCCAATCATAGTGCTCTGCTTAGTGAACACATCACAGAGCTTTATCTGCTTTGTGGGCCAATCAGGGCACTCTATATGCCTGGTGGGTGGGATGATGCAACAGAGTGAAACAAGATGGCGACAGCTCGTTTGAAAGGGCTTTTACATCAATTTTGGATTATGAGAACTTGGGCTTCATTAGAATCAGGAGCAGACAGATGTATTTAAGTGCTTTTTTAAAGAAAAAATTATGTGTTTTCTCCTTCTTCAACTGCGGACCGCCTCATTTACTGATGGCTGTTGTGGTGAGTATGTCACAATCATTGTCCAGTAG